TCCCCACCCAGTCTCTTGCTCCTCTTCTCTGGCTGGAGTGCCAGTCTACTTCTTCTCTCCAATCCCTGTATTGCCATAGCCCGTGCTAACTCGTATAGCCCTCTGGAAAGAATTCCAGACCAAGTATCGTACCAGGCAGAGAGAAGGTTCTGATGAGGGTTTATTGGAAGAGTTAATGAACATTCTAAAACCCTGTGCTCTATGTTATAAATGCCTTAGAGCAACTCAAAGGATTAATCTGGGGAGAAGAGAATTAACAGGACTCAAAGCTTTATTCTAAAATAATGAATCTGTCTTGGTGGAACTTAAGCCCTCATCAAGCTGGACTGGGGGAAAAATGGGGGGAGTCATGGAGGCTGTGTCACATGGTCTCCCCAGTGCTGAGAGCTCTTATTCCATCTCTGCTGTGTGGTTGGAGACTGGCTAACAGGCCTGGAGCACCTTGCATGTCTGTGGAACTGGGAGGAAAGAGACCAGAACAACCAGCCCATCCATTTGATGTGACTATGAAAGCTTGACCAAGATGGCCCTGCTTTACCCTGTTCTACACCAGACCCATCGCCATAAGTTTGAACTTTTTATAAGTTTGGACCAAAACCAGCAAAGACTGGAAGGAGGGACTAAAACTCCATAGAAGAGTTCACCAACAAGACCAGACATATGCACACCTTCCAGTCCCCACCCCCATCACTTGGCCTGACCAAGAGCCTGGACCCAGTGAAGACTACAGGAGACAGAGAGAAAGTCTGGCCAGAGAATGGACCAGAAGCAGAAGACAGTCTTCGACCAATTCTTTGTGCCCCTGATAGCTCATGTACAGAGTTTTGGCCTCAGAAAAATGCATTTGGATCCTGCTCTTCCTGTTTCCATCTTGGCCAAGAGTGACTTAAATAAGGCTCCACACAGTGTGGTAATGACAGGGCGGGGACAGAACTTGGGTCTGCTGCTTCCTCAACAACAGCTCTTCGTCTCCACCCTGTCGCTTCTTTGTTTTACTGCTGCTGACACAGGAGAAGGTTTTCTGTCTTTGCTTTCCGGGGCACGGTCCCAAGATAAGCCACTTTCAAAAGGCCACCCTCCCAGAGAAGGTCCCTGAATATTGTCAGGGAAGGGATAACTAACTGCCTTGTGATTTGCCTTCTAGAAAGTTTCTTCTGTCAGGTGGGGCAGGACCAACAATGATCCAGTTTGTGAAACAAAATTGAGCCTTCAGCCTTCAAAGGGATGGTGAGAAAGAAAGTCTGCCTTCTGAAATGGGGAGTAGACAGCTTCTGAAGCAGGGCATCCAAGGACTCAGATTCCGAAGGGATGTTCTCAGGGAGTCCGTGCCCACGGCTCCTCTGGGGTCCCATCACAATCCACCCAGAAGCCTGCAGTCTTGGGTCCATACTCTTCTGCAGGCCCATTCAGGAGCATCAAGCCGGTGCTGAGAAGTGGAGCAGAGCCTTCGGTGTGTCTTTTCATCACTGGCCACTTTTTAAAAATTGAGTTTGAATCCTGTCAGTGATGCCAGCCCTCTCCTGCTCCCCCACGCCCCTCGTGTTCACAGCTGCCCTCACCCCTCTTCTCTCCTGCCTGTTCCCATGTTTGTGATCCTGCAGATGTGGCCAAATGTCTAAGTGAGTCTCGCCAAATAAGGTGCTTTTACAAAAAGTTGATTGAAAGGGACAAGAATGGAGGGGAGGAAAGCCCAAAGCTCTGCTCATTTCACGCCCTCAGCCTGAGCAGGCTTGGTTCCTGAGGGAAAAAGTGGATGTGGGGAGACCATCACTCACTCCAGATCCTGGAAACTTCTGGGGGGGAATGTCAGGGCCCTTTCTGGATCTGAGTGATGGGCTCTTCAATGTCAACTCTGCCTCTGGTGTTGGAGGACGCCTGACCAGTCATCCGTTCATTCGTTCTTCTGTTAAACATCTGCTAGACCTGCCTTGTCAGGCCCCATGGGGAATTCAAACTGAAAATTGAGTGATCTTTTCCCTTAAGGACTTTACTATCCACTCAAGTATCTATGCTACAAAGTGGGTGTGTGTCAGCAACCAAGACAGCCAACCTCCGTGCTTGGTTTTAGGGAAACAACAGCTCAGGGAATACACTGGAGTCCACCAGCTTTGCTCTGACTGGAGACTGGGGAGCCAAGGCAGCTTTGGCCAAGTACACTCACAATTGTCGAGTAGGCAAAATGAAAGTATGATGACAATAATAAAGAATTTATTAAGCACCAGAATATATATGCATTGTCTTATTTGGTCTTCACAATAACTTAAATAAGTATGTGCCATTATTATGCCCATTTTACAAATGAGAAAACTGAGGCCAATAGAGAGTATGAAGCCTGCCCAAGGTGACACAGCCAGTCCAGCAGCACAGTCCATGCTCTTAGCCATTCTGCTCTACTGATCCCCACATGAGTGTGAAAATGTACCCCAACAAAAATCCAATTCTGGATTTCATTGTCCTGGCCACATGCACTACCAAACTCCAGTACTCTACCAAAATGGGATGGCCGTGGGACAGAAGCTGGAAGAGAGTTCTGCTTGGTTTTCTAATCTTCGCAGGGCAGCATTATCTGAGGTGGTGTGTGAGGGAGTGACACACACACTCCCCACACAGGATCGTGGGGCAGGCCACCTGGCTGACAGCCAGCAGGGAATTCACAGAACTTGGATTTCCTTCAGAACTGGTACCCCATGAAACAGGCCAGCTTATCTTGTTACATGTATTTTTACTTAAGGGAACTTACCACCCTGGGAACACTGTCCCCTGTGGTGATCCGAGTGCACAGGACAAACCCATACAATTGGAAGAAGAACCATAGGGAAACTGCAACCTGGCTCGGTTTTGAAAGGACTGTTTCAGAGGAAGCCAGAACTGTCATGATGGTAAGAAGGAAGATCACAGAAGCTTTGTTTACAACTTTTAGTGCTTTCTCTTGAACAGCTCTCACTCACACTGCTAGAATTAGGATATAATAGACTATCTTGGACTATCCACCGTCCCGGACCCGAACACTCCATTCCAATCACATTCCCAAATGTGCCAGGTGTTTTCCAAAGTGGCACCACTCCTGGTGAGCTGTGAGCAGTGGTAGAGCAAAGAAGGCTAGGACGTCAAGGGCATGGGTCTCAAGGCACATTTTAATCTGCATTCCTGATCTGCCGTAGCTGAGCTCTCTAGGGTCCGTCAGAACCTCTTACAAGTCCCAGGGACAGGCACCTCGGGCTAATACGGCTAATACGTGTGACTGGCCAAATACTAAGCCCATCCCTCACTGCCCTCAGCATGGAAGCGTGGTGATTGATACAGAAGAATTGCTGGGTACAAGCTTGTTGAGTGGATGAACAAATAAACACATGCATATTTGAGTGTAGGTATGCATGAATAAATAAATGAATAATAAATGAATGAAAAGGACAGATGCCTTCCAATCAGAGCCATCGAATATATTTAATATCTAGTTTCATCAGATCCACAAGATCATTTCTGGCAATTACAAAGAAACCACCGATGGTTCTACAGTTTGTGTGTCAGCAAGGTCCCTGTCACCCATCAGCACAGAGCAATTATTCTTACTTTATCTGTTATATTTCTGGGGAACTTATCTGTACTTGGAAAACGGGATTGTGTTCCAGAAGTTTTCAAGCCATGACACATAGGCAGCCGCCTGTTCTGCTCACTCATGAGAGGGAGCATGATCAATGGCTGGGGGGTGGGAGGAGGGACATGCAGAGAACCTGATGGAGCTAAGGACTGGTTTTGGAAGGACTTGTGAGAGACCCCCACCCCGCATAAGCCCGGGTGGACAACAGCATCGTCATCATCCAGCAGAAAGTGGCAAACTTTGGGCACTGGTGGGATTTGGGGCAGGGATGGGAGAAAGTAGTACTGGAGGTGGGACAAAGGAAGAAATGATCACACTGTCTAAAGCCAATGCTTAGTTAGGAAGGTGCTGTGAAGATAAAAGGGGCTGACCCCCAGAGGCATCAGCAGCCCAGCTAGAAAGAAAGAGTGACAATGCCCATGGCCGCAGGGAGGGTCTGTGGACCAGAGAGGAGGGGTCACCTTCTTTGAAGAATTAGAACAGAGCATATAAGACAGGAAAAAGACCCCTACAGGGAATTTGAGGTCAGTTTTCCTGTCACCACCCTGTAAGGAGTGCTTCCATATGCCAGGACCCACTGTGGGCACTGAGGATAAATCCAAGCAAAACCCGCCCCGACCATGTAGAGCTTACAGTCGAGTGGGCAGTAAGAAGATTCCTGGGTAAGTGGTGAGAACCTGGGGATGTGGTCCCAGCTTCCCACCGGGTGCCCTGGACCAAGTGCCGTGCCCACCTGGGCTTTGCAGGTACGTGGGGCTTGAGTGAATGAGTGCCCCGTGCAAACTCCCAGGGCTCTGCTCTTGAGCAAAAGAAATGTTGTTTGAAGTGCATCAAATCATTGTGTTTCTCTGTCTTCTTTTTATTTTAAATTTAAGTAAAATAAAGTGTATTCTCTTGTAAGTAGCATAAATAATACAATCTTGCATTTGTAAAAGTCTAGATGCCTCTATATCCATCCATTTATGCTTGCTTCTAACTATAAATTCATAGACGTCTACCAGGAGCTGCGCTCCCCAATTTCCTTCAGCTGAAATATTCTGAATCATTTGAATTTTAATGGTGAGCATGTTATTTCCACAAATATAGCAAGTCTTTATTATTTGCAGTAAAATGGAAGCAACTAGGGCACCTGCGTAGCCCAGTCAGTTAAGCGTCCGACTCTTGATTTCGGCTCAGGTCATGATCTCAGGGTCCTGGGTCCGAGCCCCACATGGGGCTGCGTGCTGGGCACGGAACCTGCTTAAGATTTGCCCTCTCCTTCTGCCCCTCCCCTCCTTCTCTAAAACAAGAGGCATAAATTGTCAGGAACCTAGGTCAGTCAAAGCACGGCCTGGCTCAGGAGCTGTGGGAGCTGGGGTCTTGGGTGTTCTTGCCGTTAGTTCACTTGTTCTCTTCTCTTCAGGTACCAGACGTGCTCCAACAACGGGCTGGTGGCAGGGTTCCAGAGCCGCTACTTTGAGTCCGTGCTGGATCGGGAATGGCAGTTTTACTGCTGTCGGTACGGCAAGAGATGTCCGTATTCCTGCTGGTGAGCCTGGCAGCCAAACACAACACCTCAAGACTCCTGGGGCTGGAGGGGAGCTTGGGGGGGAGGGGGCGCTCTGGTCCCCGTTTCTGACTTCAGATGAGCCTGGGCTGTCACGAACAAGTTTGGAATGCAGCAGGCAGCACGTAGAAGGAAACGAATGTACAAAATTCATGAAAAGGCTAGAATATTCTCTCTGGGAGGGACCTCACAGCTCATCAAGCCAATGCATCTACACCCCTCTTTTGGCAGGAAGAAACAAACAGAACTATAGAACAAGGAAGTCCCTTGTCCAAAGTTATGCAGCTATTTCGTGAGAGTGTCACCCCTAGAGCTGAGATCTACTGACTCTTGTTGCAGGACTCTTTCCCTCTATCACAATAACTTCTCATCACATCCAAGGCTGCTGGACCTGTTTGGGAACCTATTTGTTCCTTGTCACCGGTCAGAGTAGCAAACATAGTCTATAATTATAGACCAAAGAAAGAGGCTAGTGTTTTCTAGATCAATTTGTAATTCCAGTTTGTATAATTTTGCTCTTTCCTGCTCCCTGGGCTGATGCCAAATATCCCCTTACCTAGCTTTCAAATTGACTAGGAGAATGTGTATATATTTATTTACCCGGATAACTTCCAATGGGTGTTGACAACACAACTTGTCCCAAGTTCTTCAGTCTAAAAACAAGCCCAGCATTTCTGCCTTGGACAAAGGGATCCAAAGTGTCAACTTTTTTGAAGTGTTTGAAGTGTGGCTCACTCAAGGGATTTATCTCTCTGCAGTGTGGTGCTAGAAAGGACAGCCTTGTGGGTTATGCCTTCTTCTGCCACCGGACAGTATTACTCCACAGATGCCCAAGCAGGGCACCATGGGTCTCGGCACAGGCAACTCCAAAAGCTAAGAGTTTTCTGTTTAAAGTAATGATAAATTGTAAACCCAGAGCTCAAAGCCAGTAGCTGTAGGATGGAGCAGGGGCTTGTTCCAGCTCTCCAAAGCTGCCCCCATAAAGCAGTTCTTACCCCACCACGGCAGGTGAGCAGGCACGGCTAGGGTGTTAGGACAGAACTGTGACAGATCCTGAAGCAAAGACCTAAAGCCTGCACATGCTGGGGTCGTGTGGAGGAAGCACTGATGGGACAAGAAACTTGAGTTCCTGTCTCTCCCCTCCCCACCTTCCCCTCCCTCCCCTCTTCCCCCTCCTCCCCCTCTTAACAGTGCTGTCTCTGGAATGCCACTTTCCTTCTCTTTGGGACTCAAGTCCATCACTTAAAATGATGGCCAACTTTGCTGGGTCTCTGAGATTTTTGAGAATCTGATGAAAGCTATAAATCTTGTCTTCGGGAAAAAGAAAATACACTTCAGCATATTTAGACAAAAGTTTACACAGAATTTCCAGGAGCCCTCAAACTCCCTGAAGGCCACCAAAAGATCTTTGAGGTTGTTTTAAGCCCTAAAAATTCCTTGACGCCAAAGGTGCTTTTGCAAAAGGCAATCCAGATGCCCAGAACTGATTGCCAAGACAGGGTGAAGGTCCTAAAGACGACTGGGACCCACTGAGTGGGGAGAGAAGGTAGGAGCCTGCCTTGCCGCTGTGACCTGAGAAGCAGGGCTTTCCCCAATTTTCCTGTCCCCAGTCTGCTAACAGAAAGCCCCCCCAATGGTGAAATCTGCCTCCCTTGTTGAGAGGCATTAAAAGCCAGTTAAAATGTAAATAAATTATCAGAAAGAGTAGGCGACAAACTAATAGTCCGTTAATCCATTACCACATTAGCAAGATTTCCCCTTAGGCTCCAAAGGAAAACCTCAGGGCCCTGTGGGGAGGATGCACAGCCTAAGGGCAGCGGGAGGACCAGGTGTCTGGGGGCTCTAGTTTCTGCCCCTCATGGATGTCTGTTACAGCTCTTAGTGTACTACACTGGGTCTAGCCTGGGAGCCTCTGGAGCATACAGGGAACTCATTGATCTTTGCATCCCCAGTGCCCAGTGTAATGCTTGGAACGTAGTGTCTGCTTGATAATTATTGAGTAAATATTGGAATAAATGATTCTGAAGGGCATGCAGAATAAGGTGAAGAGGCCCAGAAAATATAATTTACTTACTTACTCTAAAAGTTTGTTGTTGTTGTTTTTTAACTCTGCTTTTAAATCCCACTCTCCCATCCTTTCCCTAGAATGTAAACTCTATACAAGCAAAGATCTCTGTATTGATATATTCCAAGCCCTTAACTAGTGCCAAGCACTTATTAGGCACTCAATAACATGTGTTGAGTGAATGAATAACTTTGGCCTACTTCCTAACTCTGCGAGGATAAAATGAGATAGTATATGTCCGGTACTGCTACTGGCTATGATCACACAGAGCTGACCTGTCCCCTGCAGCCCTCCCAGCTCCAGGGTAGACGCAGCCTCCTCCCTAAAAGACAGGCCTTCCAAAGGCTGACTCTACCCAAGGTCATCACAGTCAGGGGTGGGATCGCCCTGCAGGAAGCAGAACCAGTGGCTGGAGCGGGGTGTGCAGAGAAACAAGAGATGGTCCACTTGGACAGTCTACTAGGGGGCCACTGACTCATTGCCCCCCAGGCAGAAGAGGAGGGAGCCCATTCCATCACTGTGAGGACCAGCTTCTCTGCCAAGACAGGTGGGAGAGTCTGCCCCTCTACTGATCACACAGTCACTGGCTGGTCACCTGGCTTCTGGCCAAACAGAGTAACAACAGGGAGTGGACTTAGGGCCCAAGGCTTTTGGTGACAAGGCAGGCAAGAAACGGAGTCTCACTCATTTTGGAGAAATTGCCTAACAGCAGAGGTGGGGGTGAATGGAGGTAAGGGTGGGATGAAGGGGAAATAGCTCATCTTCCCAGAGTCCCCAGACTCTGTGGAGTCTGTGATCTGCATCACTATCCTGAGCATTGTTGCTTGAAGTTTACCCTGTCTCTTTGAATGCTGAGACCCAAAAGACATCCAGATCTTTATGTCTCAAAATTCCACTGATTTTCTAATGATGCTCCAGATGGCCATTGGTCACTTGGGGGGGTGGGGGCTGGTTCCAGGCTCCTCCTGCTCCCCACAAGCACTGGATGTCCTTCTGCTCACGTACTTTAGAACTTGGACTTTTCAAGCTCTCTTAGATGCAGCCCACCAATTGCTAAGATGTTAAGAATTTAATGAACATGGAAATATATACGTAGGAACAAAGTCCTGAGGTTAAAGATGAGCAACTTTTCCTCAGTTACCCGAGACATTCAGAGCCCAGTGGCAAAACTTACCCAGAGCCTTGGTCTGCAATGGCCTCCTTCGCCCTGCCCCCCCACTCCACCACCAAGACATGTCATTAATGGTCAGCAGAACCCATGGGGGAAAAGAGGAGAGAATTACTCAGAAAGACACAACAAGTCAACTTGGAAGCAAGTCCCCTCTGAGGAAGGCTTTGCTTAGCTGCATCTATTTCTGACTGCACGGTGTTAGAGCTGAGAGCCACTGTGCTTATCTAAGGAAATGGTATTTTTTCAAAGGGAAACTTGGAGAAGCAGCCGAATGAGATTGCAGTATGCACCATGGTATGCAGTGCATGACTCACTATCCCACTGCGGTGTCTAGACGTTTTAGTGGCATCTTTAAATTGCCTGAGTCATGACGTTATATTATGTCTTTCTAAACTACGTGAAGCCTCTAGGGCAAAAATTAAGTCTTATTTCTTCAGCATCTCAGCGTACTGCCTGGCACAAAAGAGACCCTTAATAAATTTTTTGAATGAATGTTGCAGGCCCGTAGAAACAGTAACAGTGGTGAAACCTGACAGTGATATGATGATGTTTTAGAGTTGAAAAGGATTCTTTCACAAGCATTATTTTGTTTGATCCTTCTAACAGTCCGTCAGAGGGAGAAGTGTTTTCCCACACCTTCCCACTGTGAAAACTGCTGATAACATTCCTATTTGAACCCTTCCCTCACGTCACTTAAACTGGCTTGAACTACCTCCCAGGGAACTGGACGCATGTGGGTGGGGACATTTTTCTCTCCCACTTCGAAAGCCACTCTGTAGCACTGAGCCTGACCGTGTTTTGAACTAGCTAAATGAGCATCAATCATCTTTGTGTTTGCAAACATTTAAGGATTCAGAAATGGCACCGCTCTTGCAGGAAAACAATACAAATTATCCAACCAACTCCCAAATGAGCACGAGATTTATTTGTTTGGTGGGGACCAAGGTGCGGCTCTCATTTCGGACTGAGAAGTTTCTCGTTGGATATTACAGCCTCGCTGAACTCTGGCCAGAGAGTGAATTTCTGATAGACTCAGATATGCTGTCACTAAACAGTCCCCACTGGGTTGGATGCATATGTAAATTTTACACATATTTATTTATATATGAGAATTCACATTCTTTTTTTTTTTTTTTTAAGATTTTATTTATTTGACAGAGACACAGAGAGAGAGGGAACACAAGCAGGGGGAGTGGGAGAGGGAGAAGCAGGCTTCCCGTTGAGCAGGGAGACTGATGAGGGGCTCGATCCCAGGACCCTGGGATCATGACCTGAGCTGAAGGCAGACGCTTAACAACTGAGCCACCCAGGCGCCCCGAGAATTCACATTCTTAGACCAGTCATCTGCAAACCGCAAACACATGTCACTGAAGAAGCCGCAACCCTTCAGAGCCTGTTTGTAATAACTCCCCAGTTCCCAAGCAGCTGAGCTGCTGCCTGCCCCACACTAGACTGTCCCCTACCAGCGTGCAGGGCTGGCCAGGCGCAGGCTCTGGGTCCTGGGAACCGACGGTTTTGAATTGAGCATCGATTTCCTTTTCCATGGTTCTCCTCCAGACCTGTGGCCTTTCATTAGATTCACTACATATTATGTTTTGATGAAAAAAAAAAATGTTACTCCTCAGAATCAACATAGATGACATTTCAGTTTTCTCCCAATCTTGAGATCCGATGACTCTTGCATGTCACTTCCTCCACTGCCTATCTCCCCTCTCTCCCTGAAGCTCAAGTCCTACACCTGAGAGT